GCTGGGATTACAGGCGTGTGCCACCACGCCTGGCTGATTTTTTTTATTTTTAGGAGAGATGAGGTTTCACCATGTTAGCCAGGATGGCCTCAATCTCCTGACCTCGTGATCCGCCTGCCTTGGACTCCCAAAGTGCTGGGATTACAGGAGTGAGCCACCACGCCCGGCCCTTGTTTATGTGTCTTATAACGTTTTGCTAAAATAGACATTAAAAATAATGTAATGTGGCAACTATGAAAACCATGTTTCCTGTTCCCCCAGGGTTTGCTGTTGTTACTGTTTCTATTTGTTTAGTGCCTTTCTTGGACTGATTTTGTAAAGTCTGTCCTCTTTGTCATCTGTAGTCACTGATACGTCACTGTAGCCATCTGTAGTCCTTGCTCAGTTAGCTTAATTTTTCACTAACGATGAGAGAAATGCTCTATCATTCCTCAAATGCTAGAATCAAAGATTTTCTCTTCCTTTGTTTATGGCAGGACTATGTGTGCATATTAATGCATGCCTTCAATTTTCTTTTCTTTTCTTTTTTTTTTGAAACGGAGTCTCACTCTGTCTCCCAGGCTGGAGTGCAGTGGCACAATCTTGGGTCACTACCAGTTCTGCCTCCCGGGGTCACGCCATTCTCCTGTCTCAGCCTCCCGAGTAGCTGGGACTACAGGAGCCCACCACCACGCCCTGCTAATTTTTTGTATGTTTAGTAGAGACAGGGTTTCACTGTGTTACCCAGGATGGTCTGGATCTCCTGACCTCGTGATCTGCCCACCTCGGCCTCCGAAAGTACTGGGATTACAGGTGTGAGCCACCGCGTCCAGCCTCATGCCTTCAATTTCAGGCAGACCGTTCACATCTTTGCCTCAGCCTTCACATCCTGCTTGCTCAAAGCCTCAAGGTTAGCCAGAAGTAAAACTTGGGCCTTCTCAGATTTCCAGAAATATGTTAATCTTTTTTATTTCTTTTCTGTTAGATGAGATCTTGCTATGTTGCCCAGGCTGACGTCCAGTGGCTATTTACAGGTGCAATCATAACACACTACAGCCTCAAACTCCTGGGCTTGAGTGATCCTTCCACCTCAGCCTCCTGAGTAGCTGGGACTACAGGCATGTGCCACCAGGCAGCTTATGTTAAATCTTTTTAATGCCCTCTCCCCATGGAAATCTCATTCTTCACTTTTCTTTTTCAAGTTTTTCAGTCAGCCTGTTGTTAGCTTTAACTACTGTCACTACCTGAGGCTGCTGTAATATTAAACAATTGTTACTGATTGTTTTTAACAATGCCCTGTGGAGAGGGCCACTTGCACAGGGCAAGCTCTGAGTTATGCCAATTAAAGACAAACCCTGGGAATGTAGCCTTTCCAAGAAGCTGCCAGACAAGTCAAATAGTGACAAGACTCTGGGCATGGGGCTCTTTTAGGTGCTCCACATCCTTTTTGCCCCTCCAGTGGCTGCTAGATTGCTCTTATGGCTTCAGGACTGTTGGCTTTCAAGATTACACATATTCTTTTTTCTTCTTCTTTTTCGTCTTTTTTTTTTTTTTTTTTTTTTTTTGAGACAGGGTCTCCCTCCGTTGCCCAGGCTGGAGCACATTAGTGCCATCTCAGCTCACTGCAACCTCTGCCTCCTGGGTTCAAGTGATTCTCATGCCTTAACCTCCTAAGTAGCTGGGATTACAGGCACATGCCACCTTGCCAGGCTAATTTTTATATTTTAAGTAGAGGCAGGGTTTCATCATGTTGGCCAGGCTGATCTCAAACTCCTGACCTCAAGTGATCCTCCTGCCTTAGCCTCCCAAAATGCTGAGATTACAAGTGTGAGCCACTGCATTCAGCCTGTATCCACCCATGGATACAAAAATCCATGGATGCTCATATCCCTTATATAAAATGGTGTAGTTTTTTCATATAACCGATGCACATCCTCCTGTATATTTTCAATCATCTCTAGATGACTTACAATACTTAATACAATGTAAATGTTATATAAATCGTTGTCATACTCTATTGTTTAAGGAATAATGACAAGAAAAATTAGTCCATACAAGTTCAGTACAGATGCAATTTTTTTCCCAGATATTTTTGATCTGTGGTTTGGTTGAATCCATGGATGTGGAAACCGTAGATTTGGAGAGTTGACTGTATACCTGCAAAAATATCCTGTTAAATGGCCTGAAGATAAATTCTCACATAGGATGGTTCTAGTCCTAAATATAACACTGCTCACCTCTTAATTATTGTCTATAGATCATCTAAATCAGCTTACTTATTGTATATAGATCATTTAAGTCAGTATGTTCATCAGAATCCCTTGCAGGGCTTGTTAAAATACAGGTCACTTGGCCCTACTTTTAGAGTTTCTGATTCAGTAGATCTAGGGTGGGGTCTGGGAATTTGCCTTTCTAGCAAGTTCTGGGAGGATGCCGATGCTACTGGTTAGGGATCCCATGTTGAGAACTTCTGAAGGACTGAGATACCTTACCACCAGCATACTTAGCTATCACATTGTGATGCTCAGGGAAGATACAGCATGGTATTGTAAATCAAAAAGTGTCTGAGACAGATCTCAGTCAATTTAGAGGTTTATTTTGCCAAGGTTGAGGATGCAACTGGGAAAAAGAGGCACAAACAAAAGTAGGATTTGTGGCCTATGCTTTTTCCCAAGAGGGTTTTGGGGACTTCAGTATTTAAAGAGGAAAGAGTGGGCAGGAGGGGAAAGAGGAACAGTGAATTATGCATTTTACATAAGATAAGTAAACCGAGAGTAGAGGAAGAGGTCAAATATGCATTTGTCTTGGGGTGGGTGGATGCATGATTCCTCCTCTATGTCTTTGTCTCATTCCTGTGAAGATAAGCTGTTAATTTACATTGTCAGGGTGAGGGAGGCCATCTGGGGAGATATGTGGCCTTCTGTCTTGCAGTTATCTCTTTAGGAACAAAAGGAAGGCAGTTTTTTTACATGATTCAGTTCCCAAGCTTAGCTTTTCCCTTTGGAGCAGTGAGTTTGGGGGTCCTGAGATTTTATTTTCCTTTTACAGTATTAACTAACACGTGGCTCCCTTTTCTCTTGATAATTTTCATTCTACAGTGGAATTAGGGTCTCATTCTTTGCCACACTGAAAACATGATTGATCTTTGAAAATTATCCAGAATTACATAGCAGTCAAGTGACAAATGTTATTGGAAGCTGATCCTCATTCAGTGTTACTGTACTAAATGAATGAATGCCAAAATTAGACTGATATCTATTTTCAAATCTTTATAAATTTTTTTCTTTTTTAAAAGTTAGTGTTTAACAACTTTCTTAGCTTGATTATAAATAGCATGGCCATGACTGCCAGGCGCGGTGGCTCACACCTGTAATCCCAGCACTTTGGGAGGCCAAGGCCGGTGGATCACCTGAGGTCGGGAGTTCAAGACCAGCCTGACCAACATGGAGAAACCCCGTCTCTACTAAAAATACAAAATTAGCCGGGGTGGTGACACACGCCTGTAATCCCAGCTACTCGGGAGGCTGAGGCAGGAGAATCGCTTGAACCCGGGAGGTGGAGGTTGCGGTGAGCCAAGATCACGCCATTGTACTCTAACCTGGACAAAAAGAGTGAAACTCCGTCTCGAAAAATAAATAAACAAATAAAAATAAATAAATAGCATGGCCATAAAATTTATTGTTTGAACAGGAATACTTTTCAGAGTGAAAGAAGGCCCTATGAATAATTTGGCTGGTAAAAAGATGTAAACAGGGGCTGTTCCAAGCAAACTAATTGGTTACAGTAATTTAAAAAAAAATACAAAAATATTTTTGCATTTCTACAAATGTGATTTTCTTGGATTTAACTGTACTGTGGAGTCAAGGTTCTGTCAATATTTCTTTCCATTTAGTTGGAGAAATAATAAGAGGGAACTGTTTTATTACTAAGTTACTTTTCAGAAGAGAAATAAAATAAAAAGTCAGAAAAGAAATAAAAATTTAAAACTAGGGCTCTTTTTTTTTTTCTTTTATTTTTTGAGATACAGGGTGTTGCTCTGTCTCCCAGGCCTCAAACTCTTCTGCTCAATCGATGTTCCTGCCTCAGGCTCCCCAAAAAACTAGTTTTTTATTTATTTTTATTCCAGACTATTGTGTGTATTTTGGTGACTTGAGGAGGATCAGAAGTAATTCTAAATGAGTTCAGAGAATTCTTTCCATTCCTAAATCTCTTTTTTTTTTGAAGTAAATCATATGTATAAATGCTGTGCCTGAGAAGTATTCTGGTTTATTGAATTAAAATAGTTTGAAGAATTTTTTTTCGGATAAAATGTGAAGACTCAAAGATAAGGATACGTTTAGTCCAATATTTGCTCTTGCTCAAGGAGAAATGTTGTTTTAAAGTCAAAGTGAAATTTTTTTCCCAAAACTTCTGATTCCTCTTTTTGTCTATGGCAAAATAGAAACTTGGGGCCAAGCGTAAGGACTGATGCTGCTGCAAGTCTGTGAGTGCACACTTAACGCACACAGGTCGCAACAGGTCTGGAAGGACATACACTTAGAAGTTAGCAATTTTCTTCTTTCTTCAAGTCTGTATTTTCAAAGAATTAAGATTTTAGTTTTTTTGCTTGTCTCTGGTTGGAATGTTCAGTTTCCTGAACATCTCCTGGGAAGCGAGCACGTCTGCACTTCGGGAAGTGCTCTTGTCCCAAAAGGTTGGGAGCGCACCCCCGGGTCGCGGCTCCTCCAGGAAACCTTCCCTGGGGGATCCGTCAGGGCCTCAGAAGCCTCAGTGAAGTTGCCACCGTTCAGTCAAGTCCAGAAGTTCAAGAACTCCTTGCAGGTGAAGCAGTCACAGGCTAGGGTGGGATCATGTGGGAACCCAGCAGTAGGAATTGGCGCGGGCAGCTCGGCCACCGACCCTGCGGCCTCAGGGGGCGGCCCCAGCTCGGACTGGTCGCGGGGCGGGGGTCGAGGGCGCGGGCCGGCCTCAGCGCGCATGCGCGGCGAGGGGGCGGGGTCAGGGCGGGGCTGCGCCCGGCGACTAGAGCGGCGGCGGCTGGGGCTGCGGCGAGCGTGGAGGGTTAGCGGCTGGTGCGCCTCCTGGTCGGGCTCCGCGGGCCGGGGCGGGAGGACCAGCACCTGAGGCCGGGCCCGCCGCCCGCGACTTCACAACCAGGCGGCGGCGCTGCTGCTGCGGGGCTCCGGCGCGCGACCCGGCGGGACAGCGGGGCGGCTGGCGCCGGGGGCCGGGGAACGCCAGGTAGGTGGATCGGGCCGGGCGGGAGGCGACGCGGCCGCCGCGGGGGCCGGGGCCGGGGACTGACAGCGGGCGCGGGGGCGCGTCCGGGTCCCTGCTGGGCCGGACGGAGACGGCGCCCGCGGTTTTCATGGAAATTGCACTGCCTAGCGGTGCCAGCGGTCCACCTGCGGTGGCGTCTTTTGAGAACAATCCGAGCCCGGCCGACCCCGAGCCCCGTGAAGATGCGGCCGCCCCGGCAGGGGGCCGGGTGCCGGGTGCCGAGCGGGCGCGGGGCCGCGGGATGCAGACGCGGCGCCTGCCCGGTGCGGCTCCAGGGCTGGGTCTCCGGGCTCCTGACGCTGAAGGCCTTGCCGTGTTTTGGGTGAAAACATCACCGGGTGAAAGTAAACATGCATCTCCGTGTAGGAAATCTGGTCTCTATCCTCGAAACTCCTCCCTTTTCTGCCCGCCCTTAGACCCCGACAACATTTCTGGCATCTTTGCTTTCTGTTATTTTATTTCTCCCTGGCTTTGCTAGTCAATTAATTGAGGCCTGAGAAATGTGCAGGGATCTGTGGCAGTCTCTTGAAAAGCCAGCCAGGAATGGGTAGGCCCCAGAAGACAGACATTCAAAATGTCAGAGGTAAATTTGTGTCTTTGTGGGCGAAGGAAGGGCGTGTTGATGGTCTCGCTTCCCTCCCCCTGTTGCCTGCCCTCTGACATTACATAATGATGGGGCCTTCCTGCCCCGAGTTCATCCATAATGACAGACCATGAAAATGTTCCTCTGGGTGAAAGACCTATAGCTGGTAGAGCCCATCTTCTCTTTGGCTTTGCCACGGAATGTGTCTTCTGCCGGGAAGCTGCCTAAGAGTGGAATTTGATTTGTCACCTGCCCCTCAGGACATTTAAACCAAGGGAATGGGGGTGGGGTGGCGATTTGGGTGTTGCAAAGAAATTCTGCCTGGTTCATCCGTTCACAGTGGGTTGTGTGGACCGTGGGGAAGCCAGTGGGGTTGAGGACAGAGTGGGTTGACTACGGTGTGAATCATGGTTCTGCCGCTTGCTGACTCTGGTTCTTGTCTCTAAAAGGTGAGAGCAGAGCTTTTTTTGCTGTTTGTTTTGGAATCTAGCTGCTGTTGGCGTTGGCCGGTGCACGTAGAATTGCTAATTTTTCTTTGGTTGAAAACACGCTTTCTTTAACGAAAATTTTGTTTTTGGATCTGGGCTAGGGCATTTGTTTCGGGGGTTCTTTGCTGAAGTGTCAACTGCTAATTTACTGTTGTCTTTGAAGAAAGAATGATGGGGCCCATGTGAGAAGCACAGTGTGGTTGGTCTGTTGGAGGAGTGGTGCCAGGAGACCTTGATGCTGTCTGTCCCAGGGGTGGCGTTGCATGTGAACGGGCCTCCCAGTGCCTCATTCCCTGTGATGTCTTGTAAACACGCCTGTGAAGCCAGAGCTACTTGGTAGAGTCTGGCTTGAAGATAAGGCTTAAAGAAGTGGATGTGGACAAATTCAAAGAGAAAGAAACATTGTATTTCTACTGAGCTCCTTATAGAATTAGTCCACTTACCTGGCCACCTTACTCATCATGTAGCAACTTTTTGCATTTAGAGTTTTCTGTCTCAGGGTGTTTATCTGCTTACGTAAGTCTTGTTTCCTAACTAGATTCAGAACCAAGGGCAGATGTTACAGTGCGTCCCTGTTTTGAAAACTGGATATTTTGTACTATTGCTGTTGAACCGAATATTAGCTTTTTTTTTTTTTTAATCACTTTAAGGAAAGGATGAAATAATACACATGAGAGCTTTTTGTAAACTGTAGAGCACTAGAAAAATGGGATGTGTGTGACAGAGAACTATCAGCCCTGCAAGTCCCTTTAACTAGCTGCCTGCCTAAGAGAGAGCGTTCTCAGCCAGCATCTCTTCAAATGCACACAGGAATGGACCTGAAGGCGGTGTGGGACCAACAGACCCACTGATCCCCAGCCCAGGGCTTAACATCTCAAGAGTTCAGTGAGGCAGAGTGGAGGGGGAGGCTTCCCACCAAGACTGTTTCATCCTGTTTTCGTTTTTAAATGAAAAGCTCCTTTTTAGCTTAGTAATCCAGAAAGGTTGCCGCAACATCATCAACCGCTCATGGTGTCAGGAGGCTTTGACTTTCACTGAGAAGAAAATAGCACAAATCTGCAGTGAAAAAGGCTTGATTATGTTGGCGCTTCTGTAGAACTTGATTAATGAGCTGGTCTTGAGAGAGCCTTCGAAATGGCTTTTTTTTTTTTTTTCAGTGTCCTAAAACAGAAGCTCTGTGAGGAAAACATATTTCCAGGAGACCAATATTAATGCCCATGCATGCTTGCTTCATTTTCTCTCTCTGTTTTAAGGAAAATGCCATCAGGAAGCTAATCCCAGGGAATTTACCTATATTTCTATTCATATGCACATGTTCTCTAATTTTTTTTTTTTTTTTAGTATTTTGATATAATTTTAGACTTACAGAAAAGTTGCAAGAATAAGCCAAAGGTTTCTCAGATTCTCCAAATGTGGACATTCTGTTACACTGCTTTATCATTCTCTTGTATTCCTATGTATTACTACTTTTTTCTGAACTACTTAATAGTAAGTTGCAGGCTTGAGGCCCTTTTACCTCTAAATGCTTCACTGTGTATGTCCCAAAAAACAAGGATATTCATAACAACAGTAATCTCAGCACTTTGGGAGGCTGAGGCAGGCGGATCACAAAGTCAGGAGATCGAGACCATCCTGGCTAACATAGTGAAACCCCGTCTCTACTAAAAATACAAAAAATTAGCTGGGCGTGGTGGCAGGCGCCTGTAGTCCCAGCTACTTGGGAGGCTGAGGCAGGAGAATGGTGTGAACCAGGAGGCGGAGCTTGTAGCGAGCAGAGATTGCACCACTGCACTCCAGCGCGGGCAACAGAGTGAGACTCCATCTCCAAAAAAAAAAAAATCATGGCTGGGCGCAGTGGCTCATGCCTGTAATCCCAGCAATTTGGGAGGCTGAGGCAGGAGGATCACTTGAGGTCAGGATTGTGAGAACAGCCTGGCCAACATGACAAAATCCTGTCTCTACTAAAAATACAAAAATTAGCGGGGTATAGTGACAGTCCCAGCTACTTGGGAGGCTAAGGCATGAACTCAGGAGGTGGAGGTTGCAGTGAGCCGAGATCATGCCACTGCACTCTAACCTGGGCAACAGAGTGAGACTCTGTCTCAAAAAAAGAAAAAAAAATCAGGAAATTAAGGTTGATACAACACTATTTAGTGTAGAGGTCGTATTTAGATTTTGTCAATTGCTTCTATAATGCCCTTTATAGCAAAAGAAAATCCTAGATCATCTGTTTTGCATTAGGTTTTTCTGTCTCTATAGTGTCCTTTAATCTGAAAGTTATCAAGTCTTTCTTTTGTATTTCACAGCATAGACATATTTGAAGACTACTGACTTTTTAAGATAATGCCCTCAATTGGGTTTCCTGTGGTTTCATGATTAGATTCAGGTTTTGCACTTCTGGTGGGAGTAGCACAGGGTTGAAGCAGTCGCAGTCTTCTCTTCTCTCTCTCTCTCTCTTTTTTTCTTAAAGAGAGAAGATCTCCCTTGGTTGCCCAGGCTGGAGTGCAGTGGTGCCATCGTAGCTCACTACAGCTTGGACCCCCTCCACTCAGTGATCCTTCTGCCTCAACCTCCTGAGTAGCTGGGACTATAGGTGTGTGCCATTGCACCTGGCCAATTTTTAAATATTTTACAGGGACAGGATCTCACACTGTGTTGCTCAGGCTGGTCTCAGACTCCTAGTCTCGCCATCCTCCTGCGTTGGCCTACCACAGTGCCGAGTTTACAGATATGAGCCACTGTGCCCGACTGATGCTGCAGCCTTCTTAGTGTGCCCCAGCAGGAGGCATATGCTGTGATTTTCCCCTTCTCTGGCCCTGTTAACTTTGATCACTTGAATTAAGGTGGTATCTATCTCATAAAAAAGTTACCATTTTTCCCTTTGTAGTTAATCTGTATCTCAAAGGGAGAGAATTTGACACTATGTAAATATACTGTTACTTCTCATACAGTTACTGACTAGTTTCAGAATCCATTGATGTTTCTTACCTGAGTCAATTATTAACATAGTTGGCAGATGATGATTTTCTAGTTTCATAGTTCCTTCTATATTTATTAGTTGGAATTGTACTGAAAGGAAGAACCTTCCTTTCTCTATTATTTATTTTTTGATTTGTATCGCTGAACTCATGAATTCTTGCTTTATTCAATAGATTATAGTCCATTGCTCCAATCATGTAGTTTATTGCTCAAATTATCCTAGATTTGGCCAGTGGGAGTCCCTTCAATCTGGCTTTTGTGTCCTTTTGACAAATGCTCATCATTGTTTGAGGACTTTTCTTCCTGGCACAAAATCTTCAAGACTCAGCCTCTACTTTCCTTGTCCCAGCCCTGGAATCAGCCGTTTCTCCAAAGAGTCCTGGTTTCCTTTAGTGGAGAATGGTATTAAAAACCGAGATGGCCGGGCGCGGTGGCTCACGCTTGTAATCCCAGCATTTTTGGAGGCCGAGGTGGGCGGATCACGAGATCAGGAGATCGAGACCATCCTGGTTAACATGGTAAAACCCCGTCTCTACTAAAAATACAAAAACTTAGCCGGGAGTGGGGGGAGCCTGTAGTCCCAGCTACTCGGGAGGCTGAGGCAGGAGAATGGCATGAACTGGGGAGGCGGAGCTTGCAGTGAGCCAAGATCGCGCCACCGCACTCCAGCCTGGGAGACAGAGCGAGACTCCGTCTCAAAAAAAAAAAAAAAAAAAAAAAAAAAAAATTAAAATAAACAACAACAAAAAACCCCCGAGATATAGGCATTAAGCCTGCCCGTTGCTACTGAGGTGTCACCGATTCTAGACCTTCTCAGGGGATGGATGCTCTTATTGTAAACATAAATGTAGTCACATTACACACAATTTTCTGTGGCTTGGTACTCCTTCCATTAGGCTGTGAAACTGTGT